GCATATTATCCTAAAAGCTGTGAAGCACTAATTTGAAGTTACAAATATTAATATTTTTCTTACACACAAGTATGGTTTTGCTTTAGAAGACACTGATTCATCAACTGGGGTCTTTTTGGATGATAGCTGTGTTTGTTTTGCATTTTCTTTGAAGCATAAACTCTGAGGTTACTATCCATTTGCATTATATGAACTCACAGAGATCTAATATAACCAGAAGATACATAATTGTTTCACTGGAGCTTAATACTGAATATGTTCTTACTTCAGTATCTCCAGTTTACAGCGAGGATCCTTCAGTGCATCAGAGAGCAGCTTCACTCCTGCATCTCCTACATTATTCCCAAACAGACTTAGTTTTCTCAGATGTGAGGAGTTTAATCTCAGAGCTGAACTCAGAGCAGCACAATCTTCAGCGGAGACGTCACAATCTCTCAACCTGCAGAACAACAACACACTCTTCACTCTCAGTTCAGCAGAAACAAACACACAAACACAGACTATGATATTAAATGCTAAATTTGTGTGTGTTACATCTCAGAAGGCATTATTATTTTGTCTCATGTCTAAGGGAACGTTTACACAACACCATTTTCAACTAAAAACAGAAAACTTTTACAACTTGTTTATTTACAACAGTCAGTCAGAATTATTGCGCTCCTATTTAATTGAGCTCGGTCTGTTTGGCGCGCATGCGTGCAGCATCGCTCGATCACTGAAGTCTGTGAAGTTTAGCGGAGAATCCCAAAGCAGAAGGCTTATGCACTTCTGACAGAAAAATGGAAATATTTTCATGGCTTTCTACCATTTATAGTGGGAGAATATACCTGTGAAATGCAAGTTATGCATTCAGGAAGACAGCACATCTCAAACACATTAAACAGCGCGAGTAGCCTAGTGTCTCTGTCAGCGGCACACGCGGCCTTTCTGTCAGAGCATCGGACGGGGCGAGCCGCTTAAACTAATATGCGAAACGAAACTATAAATTATGTCTTACCAGTTTTTAAAGGCCTTAATATGAAGCTCGTCACATGTTTAGAACAAATTGGATCATGCACTTTCTCCGCAACAGCTCAGTCTGTGTCCTCTGCTATATTTTCAGATGAGCTTGTATCAAACTACTGTAAATCGATATAAACGGTATTGCCTCATATCGAATCGCTTATAAAGAAAATATCGATATGTCGTACAAACTCGATATACCGGCCAGCCCTAGTACTTACTACGTTTTTTGCTTTGACCGTGGTAGGACCCTTGCTGTCTATAGAGGATCAGAAAGCTCTCGGATTTCATCAAAAATATCTTTATTTGTGTTCCGAAGACGAAAGAAGGTCTTACAGGTTTGGAACAACATGAGGGTGAGTAATTAATGACAGAATTTAAATTTTTGGGTGAACTATCCCTTTAAGACTATTCTTAAGAGAAATTCTGAGAAGTTTTATGCATATGGGTCCTGGGGCCGTATTCACAAAATATCTTAAGGCTAAAAAAAGATAGCATTTTTATTTCTGTTTTATGTTATACTGTTTTGTCAGTAATTGGGGTTAAATGCTCAGTGCATAACGAGCAGGTGTGTTTATGGAGTGGTGTGTTGTGAACTGGGTGTGGTGGGCCGATCTGTGCCAGAAGGTCCAGGGCCACATTTTAGCCTCAGTTCACCCCTGGTTACAGGTAATCAAGAGAACTATGTTACGGGTAATCAAGAGAACTACTAAGTCACTAAGACCAAAATCACAAACCATCATAAAATGGCTGTTGCAGGCAATTCTCCTCAGAACACAAACATTTTAGGAACATTTCATGATAATTTCCCTTTAACTGAATTATGTTCTTCTTTATATGTACAAGCTGGGCAATAAGTAATCCATAGTGATCCTTTATAGATATTTTAATTATTTATTAATCTCTGCAGTACAGTGATGCGCCATTAGAAAGAAATGCACCTTTCATACGATTACATCATCAGAGAGTATCTGTTCAATTTGAAATTGGTTTGTTTAGACATTTCTAGCTTTTTATAGATATATTTGTCATGTCTGTGAGGCAATTTTTTCATTTTTGTGAAGCACTCCAGTTCACGGTGTCAGAGACGGCAGAAAGCGCATCCTGTTTGTTTTCTTTATTTTACAAAACCATAATGATTTGTTAATATTGTGAGTGCACACAAATAAAAGTAGACTGATGTATTACACTGATCTGTGCGAGTAAAAATGATGGCAGATATTATGTTGTTTCCACTCAATAGTGCACTTTTATCTAGGTTAACACTAGAGCGAGTGGATATGTAAAGCTGCTACAACTTACATGTTTTAATTTACAAATGATAATTAGATTTTTTTGTAATCTTCAATTGTGTTCATTTGAAGGCTGAAATTCATATAGATGTGGGATGATATAATGGGGTGAAAAATATATATTAATATATATTATTATAATACAATTGTTTCACTGGAGCTTAATACTGGATATGTTCTTACGTCAGTTTCTCCAGTTTACAGCAAGAATCCTTCAGTGCATCAGAGAGCAGCTTCACTCCTGCATCTCCTACTTTATTCCCAAACAGAACCAGTTTTCTCAGATGTGAAGAGTTTGATCTCAGAGCTGAACTCAGAGCAGCACAACCTTCATCTGTGACGCCACAATCTCTCAACCTGCAGAACAACAACACACTCTTCACTCTCAGTTCAGGATATAAATTTTAACAGCACAACAACCATAAAATTCACAAATACATAACTTTACAGACAGGCAAAGTTCACTATATCAGAAGATTAGAGATATTCTCACTAGAAGAGCAATAGATGAGGTTTCACAGACATTCACAGAAAACAAAAGTGTCTTAATCTCAAGTTCACTGTTAATGTGAGAAGGAAGAGACACCCAAAACAGTGTCTAAACTGTTAAAATACTACCATTGACAACAAAGAAAAGAAGCACTGCGCTACAACACACACATCTGAAGATTACACTCAGTGCTACTTACTCTGCTGATCTGGAGGCTTCAACGACAGGCAAGAGCTTCAGAAGAACTTCATCAGGTGTCATGTGTTTTTGGCCACTACTAATGTATTTACTGAAATGAAATTGATCCAACTGCTCTGAGGTCAACAAAACAAAGACAACAGCTGACCACTGTGATGAGGACAGTCTAGCGCTTGACAGACCTCCAGATCTGAGATACTCCTGGACTTCACTGACGAGAGACTGATCGCCCAGTTCATTTAAACAGTGGAACAGATTGATGGATTTCTCTGGTGAGGGATTCATTCTTATTCTCATTTTAATGTACTCAACCGTTTTCTCTTTGCTGTACGAGATGTTCCCAACATGTGTCAGAAGATATTTCAGGAGCATCTGACGCACAGTTCTGATGGTTTTGTCTTGTCCAGGTAAAGGTCTAAAGATCTCATTGCATTTGATTGGTTTGTCCTCTGTTGCTGCTCTCCTGGACTGTGTCTCAATCTGTCTCACCTCATGCTCATTATTGATCTCTCCACTCTCACTCTCTGTGATGTAGAGCTCTGTGTAGATCTCATTCAGCAGTGTTGGGTTTCCCTGCTTTGCCGTTCCCTCATACAGACACTCAAACTTCTTCCTCACATTTGATCTATATGTCTTGAGGGCTTCAGCAGGGTCATGGCTTAAGATTAAAATAACAAAATTATTAGAATGTGTTGTATATTCATATTTCATAATATATGCATACTTCATATAGTATATATATGATGACAACATATTTGTTTAAATAGATCTTCATTTAGTTTAGGACATATGGGTCAAATTCCGCTCCTGGAGGGCCGGTGTCCTGCATAGTGTAGCTCCAACCAGCTCTAAAACACCTGCCTGGAAGGTTCTAGTAATCCTAAAGACCTTGATTAGCTAGTTCAGGTGTGTTTAATTACAGTTGGAGATAAACTCTGCAGGACAGGGCCCACCAAGAACTTTCTGACACACATGGTTTAGGACAGCAGTTCCCAATTCCAGTCCTCGCACCCCCCTGCTCAGCATATTTCGTATGCATCTCTTATAGGGCTGCACGATAAATCACATCCCATTATACGTGATATTGCGCGGTGTAGGGACCATGTCAGTTGGAACACCGTTCATGCACGTAGCTCTCTTCTAACGAGCTGGTTATCTGAATCAGGTGTGTTAAAGAGAGACATGCAAAATATGTGGGGTGTGGGGGGACACGAGAACTGGAAGTGGGAGCCGCTGATTTAGGAAGTTTAGGCTGTTAGTAGGTTGATGTGGTATAAAGATGTGATTATATATTACGATATTGTTATAATATCAGCATATATTCTTTACCATTCACATTTAAGGTTTAACAATTTTAGAGAGCAGCTGAGATTAATCAAAAAGTTGTTTGGTAGCAAATAAGTGCAACAAAAACTAGGCAAAATACTAACCCAGGCTCATTGGTAATACGTGCTTGTGGTGACATTTCTACAACACTTATTATATCACACACACACATATATATATACTGCACGTTTCGCGGCAGTTTTAAAGTGAAATCTCCAGTGAGTGGTGCTAAAATGAGTGTTCAGTATGTGACCGTGGCCTGGTTTTTATCACGTTGGTATAGACACGTATTGCTGCATTTTTATTATGTTGCTTCAGGAGGGGGACATTGGGGGGCAGTGCCTAAAGCATTTACCTGAACCCAAGATCAGACTGACCCAAGATGTGTCCACTAAAATTACGCAGAGCATCCACTGACTGGTCACTCTTCTTGGACACACAGCTGGATTCTGGCAGGTTTGGTCTGTGCATTGAAGTTAAACAACAAATGAATGTAATTCACATACTCTTATATTAATCACTTTTGTAATGACTGATTGCTCTAGGAAACTAAAATATTTAATTAATATGTTATATTCTGTTGGAGACAAAGTGCAAGTGTTATAGCACGCATATTGGAGCTGTTAATTAAGACCTTCATTCTGAAATGTACTGCATACAGGCATTGAAAACCCATTACAGCATTCAATTTGAACAAACAGATGTAACAGGACAAACAGTTTAATACAGTGTTTACCTGAACCCAAGATCATTGTGTCCACTAAGCTTAGGTGGATGATCCATTGACCGGTCACTCCTCATGGACACACAGCTGGGTTCTGGTCTGTGCATTGAAGATGAACACAACAATGTTATCCACACACATTTATTGTTACAGCTATGTTTGATCATTTCTGTTCTGAGACTTTCATTTTGAAGTTTTTTAATTTCTGGTGTATCTTAGTACCCATTTGCTGCGTTTATTTCTTGTTTCCATGAGTTCTAGTGTGTTCTCACTTATTTCCGTAGGTACTGATTTGGTTCTTCACCGGTGTCTTGTTTAATTGAATGTCACTCTGTGTATTTATACGCCTCGGTTTAATCAGATCATTGTTGTTTATTGTCTTTGTGTAAATGCAAAGCCATTTATGTTGCATTTGTATGCTCCCTTGCCTGTTGGGTTATCTCGTTTATTAAAATAAATACTGCAAAGATCCCTGTCTCTACTCACCCTTCATCTTTCCTGCACAGCACCATTTTTCTAATTAACTCGTTCAGGTGACTGAACTATTCTATTAATATGTGATCTATTGTTGAATACATGATAGAAAGTACAGCTGTTATACACAGTGTTGAGCAAGTTACTTCCAAATTGTAATACATTACATATTACTTGTTTCTGTTATTTAAAAGTAATTCCTTACCTTACAATATTACTGTCTCAGAACTGTAATGCGTTACATGACTCCTGTATCACTTTTGAGTTACTTTCACCAAAATAACTACAGAATTAGAACTTAACATTCTAAAATGACTAAATGTACAGCAGAGCATTTTACATCCAGTAGAGGGCGATATGGTGTAGCATAATGACTGTGGGCTATCCAGTCTACTAACAATATAGCTTATAATTGGCAAAGTGAAGGCTCAAGACAATGCAAGAAAGGATGACAGCCAGAATCACAAACGATCCAAGTCTGTTAAAAGTACGGTAGAGGTAAAGTGATTATCTGGCAATATCTGTGAATAGCCTGGGTCTATTCATATTAGACACAACAGGACTATATGTAAACTCTAATGCCATGACAAGATGCGCATACGTCCATCTCGCACATGTACAGTCTTCTGCCATCTTCACCCATTAGCCGCTTTTCCACTGGCCAGTGCGAGCCGGGCTGGGCTAATAGCCTCGGACCTCGAGCACTCGTTTCCACTGTCGGGCCAGTAGCCTCGCGGCACTCCTGTAAAACCCACCCTAAACACGACTTCACTGGACTACGTCACACAATACAAAGTTCCACCAGCGAGAGGGAGATTAATTAAATCGCTAAACAAATATATCAGAAGCTGTCTTTAGCCTTTATTCACAAACTTGGACACCACACGTGGCTATTGACTGACCACTAACAGAATAGAACTTATTTGCGGCATTTTTGATTCGTTAATGTCTCGCGGTCTTGCTGGGTTTTTTTTTTCTTTGAACAATTACATTTTGGGCTAAAAGTGTGTTGTACTGAACATGTACTGAGTAAAATATTACTGAAAATTGATTAGTAATGCCTTACACTACTGCGTTAAAGCAAAAAGTAATCCGTTACTGTAATGCATTACTTTTGTAACGTGTTACTCCCAACACTGGTTATAGAGTACACAACCATATATCAAAGTTATTAATTATGGTATTTTAATTAAAGGCACAATATGTAATTTTCACCACTAGATGGCGTGTATTCAAAATAAACAGAGACAAAGGCGTAGTTTGATGATGCTGTAACTGAGTGTGGAATCATGGGAGTTGTGGTCTTCATCCTCACAGCCGATGCAATCTGACAGGGCTCGGGCAGAAATCATGTTCATGGATGAGCTAATGATTTATTAACGTAGTAGAATGAAGCAGGGTGAGGCTGAAAGCCGTCAAAGCGAAACGAGGCCGCTGAACGAGCGTGACGCACGGCTCGAAAGCAGCAGAGCTTTTATTATGCCACAGTCGACTGCTTCCGCTCCTTCCGGTCGTGCATTGCAGCGCTGTTTTATCATACTAGACACATTTAAAAGTTCTGTTATAATGCTACTCTGTGCGGTCGTCACCGGTCTATTAAAACACACAACATATTAAAGCGTCTTTGGTGTTATCATGTTTTCTAACAAAACAAAACCGGAAATCAAGGGGTTATGACGTAATTTGCAGGTGACACAATGACACTATGGACACGGCCCGCGTCACTAGTTAAAATTGCTAATTTCTCTGGATTTAAACATTCTTCGAAAGATTTGGGATAATGTAAGTACACAAGTCAGCAAAATATATAACACTGTTCTAGTGGTTTTTGGATATTTTAATAAAAAAATCTTATATATCGTGCCTTTAATATCTTCTAATACATTGAATAAAGGCACAGAAAAATTATTTCATTCCAACACAGAAGATTAAGACAAATGGTTTAGTACAGTGTTTACCTAGACTTTTCATTGTGTCCACTAAGCTTAGGTGGATGATCCATTGACCGGTCACTCCTCATGGACACACAGCTGGGTTCTGGTCTGTGCATTGAAGATGAACACAACAATGTTATCCACACACATTTATTGTTACAGCTATGTTTGATCATTTCTGTTCTGAGACTTTCATTTTGAAGTTTTTCAATTTCTGGTGCATTTTAGTTCCCGTTCTAGTGTGTTCTCACTTATTTCCGTAGGTACTGATTTGGTTCTTCACCGGTGTCTTGTTTAATTGAATGTCACTCTGTGTATTTATACTCCTCAGTTTAATCAGATCATTGTTGTTTATTGTCTTTGTGTAAATGCAAAGCCATTTATGTTGCATTTGTATGCTCCCTTGCCTGTTGGGTTATCTCGTTTATTAAAATAAATACTGCAAAGATCCCTGTCTCTACTCACCCTTCATCTTCCCTGCACAGCACCATTTTTCTAATTAACTCGTTCAGGTGACTGAATTATTCCATTAATATGTGATCTATTGTTGAATGCATGATAGTAAGTACAGCTTTTATGGAGTACACAACCATATATCAGAGTTATTAATTATGGTATTTTAATTAATATCTTCTAACACATTGAATACAATGAAAGGCACAGAAAAATTATTTCATTTCAACACAGAAGATTAAGACAAATGGTTTAGTACAGTGTTTACCTAGACTTTTCATTGTGTCCACTAAGCTTAGGTGGATGATCCATTGACCAGTCACTCCTCATGGACACACAGCTGGGTTCTGGAGGATCTGGTCTGTGCAATGAATGTGAACACGACAAAAGCATTTAATTCACATACTCTTTTATTAATGACTTTTGTAATTAACTGATTCGGGTGACTATATTATTCCATTAATATATATATATATATAATTTATTTTTAATTTAAATACTCGGAGTGTTTCCCATTTGTATTGGTTCAGTCCCTTCAGGCACTCTCACATGCGATTTAAATGTGTTTCTGATTACTATTCTTTAATATTTTTTGCTGGTAAGGTTTGTTTTTAAAGGGGTCATATGATGCGATTTCAAT